GCATGCATGGCCCAACCCAGACGATTGCACCATTTTGAGCAAACATATTTTATAAATGATTTGCATGTATAGCACACAAAAAAAGTATGTTTGGAACTAGGGCGGGATACATACGGGTTATGCATGCTCCAGATTTAAGTTAGCATTCAATGATAGAACATGCCCCTAGGATTTAAACTTACATGTGATTTGGGTTTACAGTTTCACTACAAAAAGGAAAGGAAATGGAAGTCACACAAATGACAGCAATCAAGGACCAAAATAATACTTGTCGAGGCTTCGTATGTATTTGTCATATACAAGGAAATGAAGTCGGTGGCCTGAAGAACTTGTGAGTGCATCATAAAGATTGTGGACAGTTATTATATCTGCAACAGCGGCACAAGCAGGAGCTATTCGTGCAAAGGCCTCTAGCCCAACAGTTTTCTTGTCATCAACCTGAAGGTGAAAGCCCCCAAAAAAGAAATAGTTCTTGAAAGTAGCAACTAAAAATGACTAAATAATTTGAAATTAACCCATTCTACGCACAAGGGTCCATAACATGGGTACAATGTGCTACTTGCAGAAAGGAAACAAGGCAACTGATAAATAAAAAAGTACCTGCACAGCCATATTTGTAGAACTTGAATAAAAAAGTGACCAGCCATCTTCGTCCTCTAAGTCCTGGTTACTGCAAGAAGCAGTTTCCTACAGTTGAAGATTGTTCACAAAAATAGAAGATCAAACTTAGGACCAACACTTTAGAGTTTCTGACCAATTATTGGGAAACAATAAATTTTTAAAATCTTAAATAACAATGAGGGGCTGCCTCACTTTGTCTTGTGGTTTACTCTCAACACTGGGTGACTCCCATGCAAGCATCATATCAAATGTCATACGACGGAACTCCTTGTCACTCAAATAATCTGGGCGACAACTCACTATATGGAGTGCTTGATATGAGCAAAATTCCAAAAAATTCCTAGCATAAGTCAAAAGTTCCTTAACACTCTCAGGCAGCTGTGTGTCAAAATGATGCTGTAATTCTTCAGTAGGAATTTGAAGAATCCTGCAGCAGCATGAAATGCATTGAGCTTCAAGATTACTAGGAGACAGATTGCTATAACAGTTGGGGAGAGTATATGCAAAGGGACATAATGCAGATGTATACAGATGTCACCAGGAGATCATGGTTAGACAATAAAGCAATACAGAGCAGTACATGCTCACTATCTTAAGAAAATCTATGGATTTCATTAATGTAATGCTTAGCGTTTGATGAAGATGATGATGACAATAGTAATAGTGGCAGAAGTAGTAAAAGGGAACATTTATTGTACCTTTTTTTTCTTTTTATAATGCAAACGGAAAAATAACAAGAAAAAATGGTTAGTTACTCTACCGAAAGTGCAGGTACAAGTTATGGAGTATCTGTAAAAAATGGTTTTAACTAAGCCAACTTCTGTTGTGCACTGGGATTTGAAGATGTAGTTGACATAGTGCAATACCATTAAGCAATCAAAGATAAAAAGCATCAAAGCATCCATTTGGTTATGATGCAAAAAATTTCGGAAACATCTTTTCCTTCTCCATGTGAAGGCACTCTCCAGGCATAACAAAGTAAAGGGAAAAGTAGTTTCGATGTTCCAAAGCGACCCAATATTAGGAGAAAGAAATTATGGGGACGTGCAATGTTTTAAAAGGCATAAGAGACAGATTTAGATGGCTTGGAGTTTGATGTAAGATTGCATGTAATCCAGCACACAACGAATCGAAATCAAGGAGGAGGTATTCAGATACACAATTTGTAACATCCAGACAACGTAATGTGTTATGAAACACCCAGCATTCTTAAAATCAAGGAAAATTTATTAAGACATTCACAGCCGCATTTTTTTTATATACAATTGACAAAACAAACAAAGCCCGTATGTGGTGCTGGTTCTTAGACTTAGAACGTAGCACAAAATGAAAAACAACTGCGACCCATATGACATGCATGTAAAGGGAATGAAAGCAATCTTTGTTTCTCGATCTAATGTAAAAGAAAATAAATACGCAAACCAATAGATATAAATGAATGAAGATGAGGAAAATAAAGGCGGTGTATACATATGCAGATATGAGAACACAAAAAGAGGGGAGAAAGAGAATGACTTGGAACAGCGGGAGACGACGGAATTGGCCAAAGTAGAGAGCTGAGGAATGGGTTTTGGAGAATTGACAGCGGAGGAAGGGGAGTCTTGGTCATCTCCATTGGACTTGTTGCGGCTGAAAAGGGATTTCAGGGACTTATGATGGCTTCTCGTCGTCGTCAAGAAACCGTCCAACATTCCCAACTTCACATTCTCCATGATTTTATTTATTTTATCTTCTTCTTCTTCTTCTTCTTCTCATCGACATAATTATCTAAATGATATCATCATATCATATCATCCTTGACAATGCCGACGTTTCTTGCTTTGTTTGCAGATACCTCCTCCGTCCCTCTTCCCTTTCCCACACTTTCCTTCTTTTTCCTTCTCGATGTCTTTTTTATTTTATTTTAAATTGTAACCAAAGTTTAGCTTGGAGCCTACACGAAGGGACTTCAACACTATACGCGACGGGGTTCGGACACTCTGCTTATGTCTAAGAATCCAGTGTACGGTCTAATCGAATGAAAAATGATATTAACTTGCAGACCGAAGGGTTTAGGTTCAAATTTATACGACATCATAATTGTGTGTGTGTGATAAATCTCTATACCCTGTAATTTAGACTATCGATTATACATTAAAGAAAATTTTCAGATGTTTAAAAGATTGACAATGTATATCTATTTTTAGAGTTTTATTTGTATTGTTATGACTTGGTTTTTTTAAGCTTTATTTATTTTTTAGGAGTTTACACTCTTAGTTGGGATGCTTATGACAGAGTTTCTTCGATCATGTGTAATCGTTAGTGGAGGAGCCCGAGATTGTCTTAATTTTGATGTTAAATCACTCCGTTATTGTAATTGCACTTTGTGACTAGTTTGTATTGGCATTTTATAACTAATGCATTTTTTGGTTGAATTATAAATGCAATTCCAAAATTTCTCACCAAAAAATAATTGACAATGTGTGCAAAACACTCTGTTGCATTCTACATTATTTATCACCATTGGTCTTGAATTTTTCATAAGTTTTCATTTGAGTCTTTCAACTTACATTTTTTTGGTTTACATATTAGTTTGATCCTTTTGAATCTGATCGCGTTTCGTCAAAATCTTCGTTAAATTTGATCACCTCACCAACTTTGAGGGGTATTTTAGTGAAAATATAATGTATCTACTTATAACACTAAATCTCACGCATTTTGCTCAATAAATAATAGATGCTCTCCTTAATGCACCTTAATGTGAAATCCCAATTTGAGAAAATAAAGTGTGAGTTTTAGGACTAAAATGAATTATATTTAGATAAAAATAAACCAACGATGACAAGAGACAAAATTTATCAAAAGTTTTGTCGAAATGTGACGTCATGGACCAAATTGATATGTAAATCAAAAAATGAAGGACTATATTGATTGATTTGAGGGTTTGACGACTAAAGGATGACTTTTAATACATCGGGTTGAGCGATGACAACTCTTAATCACTTCAATTACAACTTACAAGTCCCATACTATTTCTCTCATATTATGATAAATAACATAATGAGAGAGATACGAAGAAGGGGCAATACAACCATGTAGGGAAGTGTTCAAGCAAAACAGGGGTTAGCTTTCAAAATTTTATTATTTTATTTTGAGATTGAGAATTTCAATTCATTTATTTCAGATGTGGGCTTTACAACTCATCTCTAGGACAAAATTACTAATATACTTCTTTCACGTCATCAATTTTGGGATAGAGTTGACGGCAAAGTGGAAAGTGACACACCAAACATTGGTAAGGAGGCAAAGTGGGTCACTTTAATTTTTATAGGGGACAAGGTAAGATTTAACCAATGTTTCAGGGTCACTGTAATAATTAAGCCTTTATTTAAAGAGATATTTCATATAATAAAAAAAAAGATATTTAGTCATATACCCATTCTTGGCACTAATAATATAGATAAACCCTATATCATTTAATTTCTATAAATAAACTCAAGAAAAAACCAAAAAATGATAGTTGGCCCTATTGAATTTAATTTTGATTATTAAATTACTATCCTATTTAGTATTTTGGGTTTTTTTATGAGGTTTTAGGGTTAGGCTTGTTTTAAGAAATTGATGGCAGTTTTGTAATTTATAAGAAGTTAAAAGCCTTTTTGTTATGTTGTAAATAGGCTTTAGGTGTTTTTCTAAAGTCCATTTTATATATTGTATTTTTATAATTTGGACCCCTATATTTGGATCCTTTAAACAAGAGGTCCTGGGTTCGATCCCAAGCGCTTGCGAATAGAGCAGACTCTATTGGGAGAGGTCCCTGCTTTGCGCCTGACCGTACCTCGAGGGATTTAGTCTATGCAGTCGCGCGGGGATACCCTGGGAAACCGAAACATTCAAAATACTAGAAAATGTCATTGGTTAATCCAAACATTAAGAATCAAAATTATTAATTAAATGAGGATAATATGGTAAATTCACACTTTTTCATATTAAAAAAATTAAAAATAAAAGAAAAATCAGATAATAAATCCTATTTTTATGGAACACAACTACCCATTATCTTTTTTAATTCTAAAATAAATTTAATTTTTTTTTGAAGAAAAAGTCTATCGCAGGCGCGGAAGCGCGTGCGGAGAGACTAGTCTCCTTTATTTAATGGGAGTTTCACTAAAATACCCAAAATGGGGGCTGAAATTATAAAAATACCAAACACCCAAAACACTTTATAAACATACCCAAAATCCATAATTACACACACTCAAAACCCATTTATAAACACACCCAAAAAATATACAATTGTTGATTGTGGGGTTGATTTTGGGTATGAATTAGGGGGTAAACCTGAGGACAGGCCCAACCCTTTCCTTATAAAAGAAACAAGAGAAATGATAAATATTGGGTGGGCTAGGAAGCCTAGTTTATGGGCTATCAGCTGGATCAGAAAACACGTAGGATTTGAGCGGGCTACGATCTCTTGGTTGGTTGTCTCGATCCATGACTTTATTAACTGGAAGATTGCTGCTCATTGTAGTAGCAGAGACGGAGAATATGGGTCAAGTTCAAAGCGAGGCAGCCACAGTGGACCAACAAGGCCACTGGGTCTCCTCTGCTGTACCAGCTTCTCCCTCCTTTTCTTCCATGGACTCTCTTGTCGCAGGTACCTCTCTCTCTGTCTCTCTGTCTCTCTCTCTTTCTCTTTCTCTTTCCGATCTCTGTAAATTTTTGTATTATACAGCGTTTCTTGTCACCGTCTCTAGTTTTGAACTGTTTGATGATGTGATAATCATTTTCGATTTCTGATTGTGATTTGATAATAAAGGGTGACTTCTATTGTCCTTCTATCCTCATTTATGCGGAATTTGTAATCATTTTCGATTTCTGATTGTGATTTGATAATAAAAGGTGACTTATGCCGAATTTGTAGGAATTGATTTATTATAGCAATATGAATATTTGCGGAATAAGTCCTTTATGTAAAATTTTCACTTTGCCATATCATCTAGGAAAGACAACCATAGGCCACCTATAGACCAAAATCTTGCAACAGACGAAACTCTTATTACAACCCTTTGCATGATTAGTGGAACAAAAAAGTTGGATCCTTTCTTTCATTTAACATAAGTTTTGCAACTGATTTCGCACACTAGTAAGTAGACAAAGTTTTCTTTAATTTTGCCCCTACACCCTCCTGTATAATGTTTTACTCTGAGACCACTATGTTAGGGTTAGGGTGTTTTCAGCTCGTATTATAGTATTCGAATCAATCCTTAATTTTTCGAACATTGTTTCTTTCACCATCTGCTAGTTAATACCTGACATTCCTGCCATGTTGTGCATTTTCAGAAGCTGCTGCATATGGCAATGATGGGAATGAGGTTGGTCCATTTTAAAGACAAACTTGTTTCTGCTGAAGGGGCGGGTGGGGTATTTGTAGGTCATAGGTTTATTAACTTATAAAAGTTACGGTGGACATTTGTTTTCGACTTCCTTTTTAATTAAGTTTGGCTGTCTTAAAGGAGTCGAACTATGCATTTTGCAGTCTCTTGATGCCAAGGCTCAGAAGGCACTGGAATGCCCTTGCATAGCTGACTTACGAAGTGGCCCTTGTGGGCTTCAGTTTGCAGATGCTTTTGTCTGTTATCTTAAGAGTACGGTGGAAGAAAAGGTAACGTCCAACTATTACTAAATAAAATTTCTGGGCTCCTTGTTGTGCAAACAGGCACAAGCACAACTATCAACTCTTATGTATCTCATGCTGGCATATTATTCCGCATATTTATCAACTCTTATTTACCTACTTGAATGTGATGTAACATGTAACAGAATATGTCATAACTAGAAGGTATCATGATGACAAAAGAAAAGGAAAAGAAAGTAAAATTAGAATGCCCGAACCAAATTGCCTCAAAATTGGAGTTGGTACTAGGACATGCTTCTAAAAACTATCGCTTTTGGCCTAAATTTCAGACTCTCAGCTTATAGTAATCTTAAAATGGAAAATACATCCATTTGGTTTGATTTAATGGTCCATCCAGCCACCAAAGAGACTGGAGATCAAGAGTAAATTTTGAGAAGACATTTTTCATGTTTCACTCTCTCTTTTCTTCCCTTTTGCCAAATGACAAATTCTTGAAATTTGATCTTTGCCAATTTTGATTATGGTGTGAAATAGATTCTATGGCTTGGTTAGTTACTATGTTGATATTCTATCTACTGATAATGTAATCAAGTGGATGGTCATAAGTTGGAAATCCATAAAGTTTACTGTCATCAGATGGTTCTGTTTGAGGTGGAAGTAAATATATAAATTCTAATAACTATTGCTATTGAATCTCTGAATTCTCCCCGAGTGTAATTAACATGAATGCTTTTTCATTTTCCTTTTTTTTTTCTTTGTAGGGATCAGATTGCGTGCATCCATTTGTAGTTTTGCAGAAGTGTATTAAAGCTAATCCTCATGCCTTTTCGAAAGACGTTTTAGAAGAAGATGAAGTTAAGAAAGAGGAAAAGCTGACACAGGATTACAAAATCACCCCCCCAAATTGGGCCAGGGAACCTCCAAGTCCAAAATCCAAGCTTTAGGAGAAAGATCTAAACTTCATTTTTATTTCCCTCGCAACAAGCAGTAGTCATTGAATTTTTTATTATAAATAAAGTTGGCCTTCACTGGAGATGCTCAAGCAGGTTTTTGGAATGATTCTTCAGCATTCTTCCACACATATATTTGATCTAAAAGTAAGAATCCGAAAGTTGAAGCTATTTACCGATTTATTAAAGAGATGGGGGAAGCTGATCATATCTTTACAAGTACGAGTGAACTTGTAATCGTAGGTGGTTGTGTGATTGTAAAATAACTGACGGTTTTTATCTTTACTTTTAAAAAAATAAATAGTATAGCCGCACGGCTATATCCTTTAAAAATAATATATTTAAATAGTATAGCCGCGCAGCTATCCTCTTTGAATATATTATAGTTAAACAGTACCGCCGCCCGGCTATACTCTTTTAAAAAAATAAAAATAAAACCCGAGTATAGCCGCTGGACATATTATATTTAAATAGTACAGCCGCGCGACTATACTATTTATTTAAAAAATAAAAAATAAAACCCAAGTATAGCCGCACGGCTATACTCTTTAAATACCCTTTTTTTCGTTTTAATTTTTTTCATCCATCTGCCAAGTTGTAGAAAAGGGGCAAACACTCGTTTGGGACTACTTCTCTAGGAATTACTTCTGCTCATAAGCACTTCTAACAAAAGCGCTTTTATTATAAAAATCTTGAATTTTCATAAAAAAAAATTAAAGTGCTTCGTGGAAAATCACTTTGGAGTGCTTCCTGAAGAAGCACATAGCAGGTGCTTCTCCAGGAGGCGCTTCTATGACCCAGAAGCACTTCTAAACTTTTCTGACAAATGCTGTTACAAGCCCTTTTAGTTATCATAAACGCTTTTGGCCCTTCCAAAAGCACTCCCAAATTGGCCCGAAGTATAATGAAAAAAAAAAAATAGACAGTAAGTTTGATGAAGTACAACACCCATATGATCACAAAGCCTCAACATACAACAAATCAAATTTTATGATGACAATTACGGATTACCCAATTGAAGCAAATGATTCAATTTCTGGATTCTAACAGCGTAACTATTCATGAAGCACGAAACTTACTTAATGCAGTGCAGGAAAAAATACAACCAAAAAGTAATATGAAGTGCTCAGAGAAATCCAACTAGCATAGATAAAAAGGAAAACATGATCAAACATTCATGAAACCCAGAACTGAAATTAGAGCGTTACCTAAGAAGAAAAGGAATAGCAGGGTGTCTCGCAAGTCTTGTTCATGCTCTAGCAAAGTTAGAAACTAAAGTAAAACCATCTGCTGATGCCAAAAAAACAAACGAAAATTAGGTGAGCAAAAGCAGAGATGGAGAGAAAAGGAAACTTGTTATTTTTGGGAGAGAGACCATGAATAAAAATCAAATTCTATTCCTCTGTTTCAGTTTGCTAAAAAAGAAAACATCCGTACAAAAACCTGCAATGAAAAATGGATCAAAGCCTCTGTAAATTCTAGTCCCTCCAAATTGAAAATTATCAGACCGTAATCAACAAATCAACAATTGAAGATTATCAAACCCTAGTCAACAATTTAAATGACCGTACAATACATACGGAGTCCAAATTCTAGTTCATACAATCTCTTGGAAGTCTTGCTTTGCTTCCTCAGCCCCTGCCAAAGTGTCAAATGTACTTCACATTGCTGTTAACATCAAAACAATTGTATTACACCAAAATGGGAATTTATTGAAGAAAATAAATTGTGGAAAAACAGAGAGAAGAGAAAATCCAAACTTGTAAAAATGTGCAATTCAAACAGCCATAAATAATTTCAAAAGAAACAACAGCAAAACAATTGCAATACACTAAACACGGAAATGGTAATTGCATGGCTGATTCTTAAAGACGTCCTTAAAGCTCTTGCAATGAGTCATCCTTGAAATTTTTCAGGGTGTCTGGAGTGATTAGTGTTGAAAAATGTAGGTTGTAAAGTTTTTCTTAGTGTTTAACCCAATCATGTAATACACTGTATGCATAAAATAAAATAAAAGTTTTGTATTGAACAAAAAGTTCAAAACTTTAGCACAAAAATATATATATATATATATATATATATATAAACACAACATCTACTATTAAAAATTCAAAAATTCACCAGAGAGAGAGAGCGATGTGAAATGTTGAAGAATTAGGCAGAATTGGAAGAAGAAAAAGTAGTAGTAGTAGTAGCGTACCAAAAGTACAGACTCGTCCAATATCAGTACTCCTACAGCACCACCCACTCCCGCCATCTCTACTTCTCTCTCTTTCTCTCTAAATATAATAGCAATGGAAGAAGGAACGAAATGTGGAGAAACTGATTTGGGCAAACTGAAAGGAGTTGTGCCTTTCTGATGAGGCATCTTAATCAAGAGAACAGTTACTCTAGTATAGCCGAGCGGCTATACTCTTTGCCGCTCGGCTATACTATTTATTAAAAATTAAAAATAAAAAACGCAAAGTGTAGCCGAGCGGCTATACTCTTTGAATATACAGTACAGCCGCGCGGCTATACGCTTCGAAAATATTATAATTAAACAGTATAGCCGCCCGGCTATACTATTTATTAAAAATTAAAAATAAAACCCAAGTATAGCCGCCCGGCTATACCCCTTAAATACCTTTTTTTTTCATTTAATTTTTTTTGTTTGTTTATCGATAAGAATAGTTTGGAGCATTATCCATTACTATTCGGCCGTTGCCTAAGTCTTTATTGTCCCCTTTTTAGTTTTTATTTGTATAAAGAATTTAGCATTTTCTTGTTTAATACTCGTATTATATACGTACATACGTATTTTTCAATAATACTTTTGTTTTTTGTACACATCTTAAAGACTCGGTAAAATACACGTTTTTTAAAAAGCAAACATATAATACACTTATTGTACACGTACGTATGCATTTTTCATGTTTAATACACGTATTTTTTACAAATAAACTAAACATATGTTTTATGTTAGATTCATATATTTCATTAATAACTATTCATGAATACTCTAGTTTATGTATGCACTTGCTTACAGTTCGTGCATCATTTATAGCTATATTAAGGGTGGCTTGTACCCTTAATATGATATGCCAATTCTCAACTTCAATATAAACTAAATATCTCTATTTTTGACTATGTTTTTCTCTCATTGTGGATTCAAGGTACACTTCCTTATTGAAAATGTAGATTTTCTTCTAGTTTACGCTTCTGTACTGCATCGGTTGGCATTAGAGCCAAGTTATTCCTTGGTTTGATGGCTAACCCTCACAACGGTTGCAATCCTCCTAATGGCAATGAACGTGAGGGAGAGGCTCTTACAAGAGTCGAATTCATAGAATACCAAAATCAAACTCAGCAAATGTTGTATGATATTCAAGCAGCTTGTGAGGTTGGTAATGGATCCAAATAACAACGTTCGAGGTCCTATGCTATGCCTCAACGTGTTCATCATTAAGATCAACGTCAAGATTTGAGTGACGAATCCAGTGGCGATGAAGAATATGAAGAGGATATATATATTCGGAGGAATGGAAGGAGAAAATGATCAACCAAGGCGTAATAATCGTGGACCTAATAGAGACTATCAAATGAAGACTGATTTACTTGTCTTCAATGGGCAAATTCATATTGAGGATTTCTTGGATTGGTTGAATGAGGTAGAGAGATTCTTTGAATACATAGAGATTCCTGAAGAAAAGAAAGTCAAGGTTGTTGCTTACAAGCTAGAAGGTGGAGCTTCTACATGGTGGGAGCAGTGCAAATTTCACGTATGCGACAAAGAAAGGCTCCAGTACGATATTGGATGAAGATGAAGTGACTATTAAAAGTAAGATTTTTACCTCCTGATTATGAACAAGTCATTTTTCAACAATACCAAAATTGCAAGTAGGGGAGTAGGACCGTTCAGGAATATACAGAAGAATTATACAGGTTATCCTCATGCAATGATCTTAAAGAGACGGAGGCATGCATAACAAATAGCAAGGTATATTGGTGGCTTATGCTGGGCTGTTCAAGATAAAGTTAATATGCAAATCGTGTATACTGTGGTAGAAGCTGTCAATCTTGACACAAGAGTCGAAGCGCAGTTGGATAGAGCAAGGAATCAAACATCATGGAGTTGTCCATCTGATTCGTTACACCCAATGGCAAACAAAGGAAAGCAAGCTTCCACGACACAACAAAATGGAAAGTTTTCTGAGTTTGGAGGCAGCAGTGACTCCTCGAAGTATACAAATATGTCGCGAAAAGATGTTTCACAAGATATTTATGCAAAGCCCAGAGGAGACAAGTGTTACAGATGTGGGCAAACTGGGCATTTCTCCAACCAATGTCCTAAAAGGCGTTTGGTAAATTTTGCAGAAGCAGAAGATGAGGATGAAGAACATCTTAATGATCTAGAAGACCCCACATTCACTTACAAAGAAGATGAAGTGATTCGAGAAGATTGACTCCTAAACATGAGGAACCACCCGAGCGACACAATATTTTCAAGACTCACTGCACTGTGAATCAGATCATTTGTGATTTGATCATCTATAGCTATATTAAAGGTGGCTTGTACCCTTAATCTGATATTCTAATTTTCAACTTCAATATAAACTAAATATCTTTCTGCGAGAGTGTGTTTTTCTCTCCTTGTGGATTCAAGGTACACTTCCTAATTGAAAACGTAGATTTTCTTCTAGTTTACACTTTTGTGTTGCATCACTTTCCCACGATGGGGGCGAGTTTTGTGGGGGGTTGCTTTTTTATTTGAATTTTTTTTTTCTCCTGAAAAGGCCAATTTTTGTGGGTTACTTTTTAGTTTTATTTTATATTTTATAGAGTATTTACTAAACTACCCATAAAGTTTGAATATAAAATTTTGCTTAGTCTTTGGTTATTTTTTTGTTTCAGGGGTGTTTGTGTCAAGTGGATTTTTTTTCCGGTGAAGCATGTGACCCCAACTGTTTTTAACCTCCCTTTTTTTTTTTTTTGGACGAAATGTTTTTAACCACCCTTTATAATAGTAGAGATGCTAGTGGTTGAAAAAAAAAAGACGGTTTACAGAGGCTTTGCATTGTAAAAATAAAAACTACCAAAATGAAAAATCACTTTAAAATTATAATTTTCCGAAATAATAAGGGTTGTAGGCAGCATAATTGAATAAGCGAAGTGAGGAGAAGAGACTGGCTCATGGCTTTCGCGTCTGCGACTTGCTTTTCTTCCCAACTGCAAGTGCTTCTTCCCCGCGGCCCCTCAAAGAGTCCCCCATTCGTATTTCCTTCTTGTAATACTCGTCGTGTCACAATTACGTTCAGACCTCTCAGTCTGACACTCCGAGCACCCAGACCCTTTTGCGTTCTATCAGCGGCGGCGAAGAGTAATTCGGCTTCGAATTCCAGTGTTAACAAAACCAGTAAAGAAGAAGAAGAAGCAGTTGAAGAGGTGGAAGAGGATCTGCCATGGATTCAGGAGAAAGCCTTGGACCTCGTGGAGTTCACGGGCTCCGTATCCCAGGCCATTCCTGGACCCAGAGTGGGCACCAGCTCTCTCCCTTGGATTCTGGCTCTTCCTCTGGCCTATGCCGGTCTCACTTTCGTCGTTGCCTTTGTCAAGACCGTTAAAAAGTTTACTTCCCCTCGACAAAAACGCAAGAGACTGGTGCGCTCCTCTCTCTCTCTCTCTCTCTCTCTCTCCCCTATTCTTCTTCCTCCTATTTCTTTTCCCTTCATTTGGTTTAGGGTTTATGGTTTAGGAACTAATAGTATTTAGTTTCGCTTGACTTTATTAATTGTCTTGTAACAGGTCAATAAAAATGCTATGCTATGTAAATCAATAGACGACTTGTTTCACAGTGGCGCAGATCAACCCAAACCCGATGCTTTGAACCAACTTGTGCAGAAGGTGACATTTCTACTTATACATGACCAATTCAGATGCTGGTCTCTTCATGGGTTTGTAATTTGTAAAAATCACTAGTACTCTACACCATTAATGTCATAATTTGCCATATCATGATTACACTGTTGTCAACTCTGCTGAACCAAGTAATTGTTTGTTGGCTTATTGTTGACATGGGGTCGTTTTCAAAATCATTAATTTGTTCAATTGGATTGGTTTTCCTGGAGCAACCTTTTCAGTGCAGCTATATGGCTCTTCTTACATTTATAAATTGTCTCCAAACTATTCAATGATTACTGTCTCCTTCTAAAATTTTCATTTGTGTTGTATGTGCGTGCATGTAAACTTTTGCCATTTTGAGCTTGTTAACAGCCGGTAATCAATTTTTCAGACTGGTTTTGGCATGGAGGATATTTTGCGGAAGTACATTCGCTATACTTTGAATGAAAAACCATTCAACCCAGACGTGGTTTCCAACTTAATTCAGCTCAGAAAAGCTTCCATGTTCGATGACTCTCAGGTTGCTGAAATTCTAAATGAAATTTCAAGAAGAATTGTACGAGACAAAGGTAACTAACTCGTCAAACAACTGCTCTCATTACTTGTATGGTCTAATTACAAAACATTTCCTTTTCCATCGAAAATTAAATAATATGCTGAGGACTATACTACTTCCTCCTACATGTGAGTTAGTACGCTTAGAACGTGCTCTCTTTCTTCTACACTAATCTTTTGATACTCCCTTATCATTAAACATGTGAGTTACAAAAGATGGATGCTTGCGTTTAGAACGAGCACTCTTTCTACTATACTAATTGGTTGCTTTACCATTTAACGAACTTATATCATTGAGAAGTTGGAAAAGCGCTTTCCAAAACTGTGATATCAGATGCTGACTACTTGTTTGCGACTTCCAGGCCCAGTTGTAATGGATATTTCAGGCTACACTGAAAGGGGTTTCAAGAGAAAACTAGCTGTTCAAGCCCTTTTTGGAAAGGTTTTCTATCTGTCAGAGGTAAGGGACTGAAGAGTCCGAAAAATGACTCTGATCAACGCCTTGTATGTTTCAGTTTTCCTCACCCTCTTTTTTTTTTTTTTTGGTCATTAAAATTCTATTCTTCTCGCATAAAGTCACACGATACACATATTCCCATTTTGTGGTAATTTTTCCAATTATTTTGTTCAGTTAGACATGGTCAAAAAGTACTGCATGATAAGAAAAAATATTTCACTCATTTTATTTAAGTTCCCAAACAAGTTCTTACCAGTTGTGCTACGCTGGAGAAATTCTTCCATACAAAATAACCCTCTCACCTTCCCCATTTCACATGCTGGTCGCATGATCAGTTTTGTTGTGATGAAGGTGGTCTCAGTTTGTACCCGCTGGATGCTAGAATTTTTCCCTGCCGCAAATTAATTTTTGCTGGGAATGGTCAAACATGTTTGCTACACGTGAGGGTTACGGTCCGAACTCCATTGGTTAAATTGTCTAATTGGGTCCCTAAAACATTTTTGTACTGAGGTGGTTAAGTTTCTGAATTTTGAACACGAAAATAGTGTTGTGTCTTGTGTGAAAATACTCCAAGACCTTGTTGTTGATGGAATATGTGACGGCACACACACAAACCCCTTCAGAATAAAACACACACACCACGAAGAGAGTAAAGTAAACACACAAGAACACAAAGATTTATAAAGGTTCGGCCTTGTGCCTACGTTCTCTGGGTGGTCCACTCGAGAAATTCACTAGTATGTAAGAACAACTTTGGTTACAACTTGAATCCCCTTAGCTCTCACAAGAACTCTAGCTCTCTTTTCTCTCACCCTTGCTCAAACCCTTGATGTCCTTGTAAACATCCTAGAATTCCCTCTAGAATTCTCGTGTTTCTCTCTTCAAAATTAACCTAGCCCTAAAAGTCCTATTTATAATGCATAGGACTTTAGATACAAGTTAACTAGGAATAAGAAACTAAAACCCTATTAAATTAGGTTAGAAAACTCCAAAATAACAGAGATGCGAAGGCCAAAACTGGAGCTCCCTGGACGAAAACGACCGGTCGTGTAGCCACACCGACTGGTTGCCTACTCCTCCTTGCAATTTCTTCTCCTTGTCCCGCTGCTCCCTTGCAGCCCTTTTGGTTTCCCCTTCTCCTCCGCATCTATGGTGATCCAACTTTAACAAATAGATGTCATTTTGGTACCATAACCTCAAAGATTCTGAGTTTTTACATAAGTGTATAGAACAGCTTTTCCTATTTTTTTCCCCTTTTTTTTTGGTTTGAGAAATCTGCATATCATCACTAAAATTTCATTGATTTTTTTGTGATTTTATGATTAGTTCTTGCCTTGTTTCATCTTGGTTATTTTGGGAATCATTTACCTTCAAAATGTTAATAATCTTCATGGAAAATTTTGGCAGCTGCCAGAGTTCTGTTCGAGGGATAGCTCCTTAATTGTCAAAGAAATATTTGGTGTTACTGAGTAGGCCTCTATCCCTAATTTTCAGCTCTTATTTCATTTTTGTAAAAGAATGAGGAAAAAAGAAATGGCCATGCCATTGTGATCAGAACGAAACTTTAAAATCAATGTTTTCGGTGCTCTTGGTTAATTCTTCTTCTTTTCTCTTATGCCCAGTGAAGATGCAGACAAATTACGGATACATGCGATCTCTGAAGCTGGTGATATGGATTCCTTAGAAAAGATGGTTGATGCTTCAGATTCAGATGAATCTGGCTAGGGCTCTCTCCTTCTTGATTCACATGCTCCATATCCAAGAGTTTTGGCACAGATAAAAATTCTGGCCATATAAGCGTAATCTGTTTCATTTCTGGATCATGTAGACTTAAAAATTTTGGTTGCAGCATCAGCTCAGATTCTGTCACATAAAGTGTAAAATTAACTTCATTTTTAAATAGGTTAATATTTGATTTATAGCTGGAAGTTAATGGTATTCATTTTTGAGTTTCCTATTTGAATAGGATACTAAACACCACCCTAAATTTCTGATATCTATGAAGATGGGAGTAATATACGGTGGTGATTAACAAGTTGACGGACGTTTTGCTATATCAAGCGTTTATTTTCTGCCATGATGAGATGCCATCTTCTAGCCCACGTCTGATTCTAGATCTCCCCTATAATAAATAAACGCCGGTGGAGCAAAATGAAAAGATAGGGGTTGTAGAAAAAGCAGTTGAGTGGATCGTTTGAGCTTGATGCATGGTGGTGGCTTTCTTACCTGAATTCACGCTCTTCAGATCTCCTTTGTCGGTTCTCATGGACTATCCTCTACTTGCGATAATGACAGATTGTGTGGCAGCGGCGGCTGCTTAGTTCTGGGTGTGATTTTAGAGTTTGTGTGTTTTTAAGGGTTTTTTGTTGTGTTGGGCCTAAATTATGTGTATTATGGTTGGGCTTTTATTTTGTTTGGCTGTGTTTTTATTTTATTGTCCTGTTTGTTGTATTGGGTTTGTTTGTAACTTTCTAAGGTAATGAAATCTTCATTCCTTCGACCAAGAAAAAAAAGGTTAATTAGATTTAGTACCTTGAAAACTCTTATGGTTCCAGCATTAACTTCATTATCAAAATTTCCCTTAATTGCTTGAGTGGCAAGCTTGGGTTCAACTAATATTGAAAGAAGTGAATAGATGGAACTCAGGTTTGCCACGCAAGCAATTAAAAATTTTGACGATGAAGTTAACGACGGAACCAAATTGTAAGTGAAATTAATCCACAAAACAATAATTGATTGTTAACAGAACATAGGGGGATAAAAGTGAAAATTTGTTTTCTTTATTTTTTTTTTCTCACTGAATTACTATTTCTGCATTGGGTGGGAATAGCTAGTAGTAGAGTACCAACCCAACAAATGGCGGAAAGTTCAAGGTGGAACAAAGTTACAAGTAGGGGTGCTCTCCTTCTCTTCTATGTCGTCTCGTCGCTCGCTCCTCTCGCTCTCAGTCTCTCAGCCGCCTCCGCCTCCGCGCCTCTCTCATCTCAATATCACGCAGGTCAGCTTCTCTCATCTCTCTGTATTTTATCCCTTCGATCCTCTTGCTCCGCCAAATCTCTCTCATCCAAAACTTCTCAGCCTCTCCGCTCCATCTCAGCTAACTCTCTTTCTCATCTTATCTCAATATCAGGTACGTATGTGTCCTCTTGCTCCAATTGCGCTGTATTTCAACTTGATTTTACAGACTTAGATTTGTGGAAATTAATTTGGGGCTTTTGTTTTAATTGGTCTGTTGTATGTTTGTTTAGACCTGTTAATGAATAATGAATCAAACACATTGTCATAGAAATAATTACCGAAAAGTAATGCTAGGACATCAAATATTTGAACCAAATTTTAGTGACACCATGGATTTAATTATCGAAAACTAATAAGCCTCTTTAAGAGTCATTAACCCAAGTTTAACCCAACCATCCCACCAGCTCCCACACTTGACAGAAGAGCCATAATATATCGTCGGCTAGTCAAATTGCTCATCGTCAAACTACTGCACCACACTGCTGCTCAACAACCTCACAAACACCATCATCAGAGATTAATTGAAACACCTCAATAATTAAAGAATTTTCACAAATAATCTGCAACCCGGTCCTGTATGGCTTGATGTGGTTGTGGGGTGATGCCTCTGTTTCTCAAAACTCAATCCCGCGTTTTCAGTTTTTATTTTATTTTAAAGAAATGAGGAAAACGTCTTTTAGTTGTTGTTCTGTTTTCTGTGTTTTCAATTCTTGCTCACCGAGCGCATTTTTCATCGTTTTCATTTTGCAGAAATGGAAAACAGCTCCTCAAAACATTAACAAATGGGCCCTTAATTTCTGATGCATTAGTTCTTTGTTTTTGGTTAATTTCTGTTGGTATTAGTTCATGCTTGGGAATAATATTATTTTATTGGTATGCTTGGGAAATTAACCAACTGAATGATATGCTTGGTTAATTTTTGTTGTGAGCCTGTTTGGTTTGTTTTTAGGGTAAAATTACATATTTTTCTCTCTGTTTAAAAAAAAAAACCAAAATATATGAATCTGCATTATTTATTTATTTATATCCAAATGATATGAATATGTTTTAGTCTGTTTTTTGGTATAATACATGGGCTGTTTAGATTCTGTTTTTAAGCTTAAGGTACTATTACAAACACAGGAAAAACAAGGAGGCTCCTTCAAAGTGAAATTGGTGGTGGATTGAAATCAAATCTTGAGAAGAGAAGAAAGAATTGAAAATGATGATTCAACAGGTGCAATGTTCATCATGTTGGTCAATAATCCCAATTGATATTCCAAAAGGCCAGATTATGTCTGCAGCAGCAGGAGGAGCATCATCATCAAAACCCTTGAATGTGCAATCGAGGTCGAGGAGGTTACGATGTGAGGCGGTGGTGGGGGGCCTGCACACGGGGAGAGACCCAAATGTGAAGAAGGCTGACTGGTTAAGGCAGAAAGCCCCACAAGGAGACAAGTATGAGGAGGTCAAGGAGTCATTGTCCCGTTTGAATCTGAAGACGGTGTGCGAGGAGGCCCAATGCCCAAACATCGGAGAGTGTTGGAATGGAGGTGGGGATGGCATTTCCACTGCCACTATCATGCTTCTTGGGGACACCTGCACCCGCGGCTGTCGTTTCTGTGCTGTCAAGACCAGCCGAACCCCTCCACCTCCCGATCCCATGGAACCTCTCAACACTGCTAACGCCATTGTCAGTTGGGGTGTCGATTATATTGTTTTAACCAGCGTCGATCGTGATGACCTGCCCGATGGTGGAAGTCAACATTTTGCTCTAACCGTCCAAGCCCTCAAGGTAATTCTCTCACTCCATAACTAACTTTGCATCTTTCCTAATCATCTCATACGCACATAACCTTCCTCCTCTTGCAATACTCACTGATTGTTTGGCAACATACTGAGACAACATAAACCTTGATTTGATTGTAATACATTCAACTAATACAAACTTATTTTGCACTTTTGCAGACTCTCAAACCTGACATCATGGTTGAATGTTTAACTTCTGACTTTCGTGGTGACTTGACGGCTGTAGACACTCTGCTCTACTCCGGGCTTGATGTCTTTGCTCACAACATTGAGACCGTCAAACGCCTCCAGCGAATTGTCAGAGACCCTCGGGCTGGGTCAGCTGCACTATCCATTATCTTATTATTCTTCTTCTTTTTTCTATTTCTTTTCCCCAAAGACTTTCAGTTATATATTTTGCTTACTTGTCATCTGCATCATGCACTACCCATTGTCCGTTTAACTTGTTGTTTGGGCATGCTTGTTGCTTGTTATGTTCGCCCACAAATTACCATAAATACAGTTGGAGTATCATTTCCATTATGCTAGCAGCATAGATTATACACTTCCATTCACCATATAGCTTAAACAAAGGGAAATTAGACACCAAAGGAATTCTTCTGGGTTAATGTGTACCATAATTTTGATATTAGACACAGCAGCACATTTGCATTAACTCACATTGATCTATACACATGCCTGCAAATGTGTGTATAGGTGCCACATGCTTTTGCACAGATGCTCAAACTTATTGGATGCTTACACACAAAGAGAAATGGGGCTACTGGATGTCATGTGTTATAGATATTCCCTTTTTGATAAGTCAACAGGCTCATCAAGTTATATCAAGATATGCATTGCTTACTTGTCTATTCCCTTTCTCTTCTTAGCGTAGCTTAGCTTGTTCACTTGGGGATAGGCAGACGGGTTTTGGGTTAAACTTAAATGTGAATGGTACATAATTGGTGTTTGATCTTAAAGGAGCTGACTTTGCTATCCATATATTCCAGTAGCTTCCACATGAAATGTGGTCTATGTGAATTGTGAAGTTTGCATTTTTCGATGTCAACAAGAAACTTGGATTAAGCAAAATTCTTTTAAAGGGTTTTCTATTCAAATGGTCCCTTAACTAAATTCTTCGTTTAAATGGTCCCTCAACTCTTTATTATAGGGCGAACTGGTCCTACCTTAAGAGTTAGGTCTGCACCTTATGGTAATCATACCACTTCCTTTCTGAAACTTATAAATTCTCTTTACTTGGAAACTTGATTCGTATAAGTTTGCTTCCCTCTCCATGTCCAACCAATGGATGCCAGTGTTAGGGGACCTCTAGTTGAAAAAATTAGTGAGATTGAGTTGTAAGTGTCCCATGTTAGCACCAATCCAAATTCATCTGATCATATTCTCGTATCTTAACTGTTGGTTTTCAGTGATAGACCACTTTAACCACTTTCAAAAGCCTTGATATGGAGAAAAACCTGTCCAGGCATCCCACTCAGAATCTGTCCACCTGCTTTGTGGCTTTTTGTAGTTATTTTTTTTAATGGCAGCCTTGTAGTTATGAAACTTTGGATGTGCTCTCACTCATTGTAACTTAAGCCTCTTTAAGTTGACGAAATGACACATATGGAACTTCCGTGGATTTCTAGAGCACGGAAAATCATCCGTCTGTTTCTAAGAGCATCAATCCAGTTTAGGGGTAAATGTCTCGATAGTAGGGTAGCTAACCAAGTACATCATCTGCTTTTCATAGATTGGTTCTCATTCAGAAATTGTGCTCACTGCTGCTACTTGAGATTATTATATTTAATCTGGTAATGCAGGTATGAGCAGAGCTTATCTGTTCTAAAGCATGCAAAAGAAAGCAAGAAGGGGATGATAACAAAAACGTCTATAATGTTGGGGCTGGGAGAATCAGACGACGAGTTGAAGCAAGCTATGGCTGATTTAAGGGCTATAGATGTTGATATATTGACACTTGGACAATATTTACAGGTTAGTTAATACGCATAGCTTTCATGTATTTAGCGTTGAGTACTACATGCAAATACATTGGAACTTACAGTTTGTAAGAGTGGTGCCATTTCATATGAGTCTCCAAGGTTGGACCGGGTTAGACCTGGAATTTTGGCTGTCTATTTGCGTCGTATAATTGAAGAATGGCTGTAATCTGGCCCTGTTTACCCATGGTAGTTTTTATTTGCCATAAGCGATCCACTTTACTGTTTCTGAGGAAATCCTCAAATGAGACTAAGTTACTCCAGTAGAATTTTGTGATAAAGACTTAGATTCTAAATTGCTTAAATTGTTGCAGCCAACTCCATTGCATTTGACGGTCAAAGAATATGTTGCCCCTGAGAAATTTGTTTTCTGGAAGGAATATGGGGAGTCTATTGGATTTCGTTATGTAGCCAGTGGGCCCTTGGTGAGATCTTCATTAATGTCAATTGTATAGAACATGAGAATTATCTTTCATTACCATTCTTGATTGAATGCAGTAACCTAGTTTTGCCATTATTGATGAGAAATCTGTGTGTCGATTAATTTTTTCAGGTCCGGTCCTCATATAGGGCGGGGGAGCTGTTTGTTAAGACGATGGTCAGGGAAAGGGTTAAGGTCCCTACTGGCATATTTTAGCAACTTTTATGGACTCCCATTTTTATGGCTACCGAAGCAACAAGAATTTAGTGGCATAAACAGCTGAAAATAGGGCAAAGTTGTAATTGCAATGAGCCAATGACCATAATTTTTTTTTTTAGGTTTGAGTTTCATAGGTTTGCTATAGAAGTATCTGTTCAATTGAGACTGTTGATGTGCCGTGCCGAAATCATTTGTTTGTAAGTTGTAAACATAATTACTTTTGCGTTCAAGTTACAGTAATTGACCCCAATAATTCTTCGTATTAACCAAAATCTGAAGTAAACATATGTACAACATTTCTTATTCACGCCACACGATGATAGATTTTTGGCTCTGCTGACTTCTGATGGCATCTAAAAATCCAAATGAATTCTCAGTTTCGGTATAGAAGACGAGATAAATTTGCGTAGTTGAACTTGATGGAGTTCCACGGTTGGGGCAAATTTGCTGAACTTGATGGAGTTCCACGGTTGGGGCAAATTTGCGTAGTTACCTGCATGGCGAAGCAGTCAAAAATGAAAACGAAGCGGTGTTTTTTTATAGTGAATTGGCTTGGCAATTCGAGTTATGCGTGTGAAACCCAGAAACCAAGTCAGGACTCAGAACAGAACTCAACTCACGCAAAGACAATAGTGACAATGTGCATAACAAAATAGGCGCACGCACAAGTGCGGTGCGCAGTGCCCATGTGGGTTGGGTGGTGTGGATGTTTGTTGGCATTTCGAAACTCTATCTATTGCCTCTCTCTCTCTCTCTCTCTCTCTCTCTCTGTGCCAATTGCCAAAAGCATAATTTTCTTTAAAAGAAATTTGAACCTACCTATCAATATCTCTCTATTTCACACTTCTCCGTACACGACTTTCGGTGCTACTTTCGGTCTACTTGTTCTATACTTTTCTCCTTACGCCTTGTTCAAAGATTTCTCTTGTTTTGGCTTCTGGGTTTTTCCCAGTTGGCGAGTTTTTGGCTTCCCAGATTGATTCTCTTTATTGGGTTATGCCTTCTGGTATGAAATCTTCGATCTCTAGCTGTTTGGTTTTCATCTTCAAGCTGCCTTTTTCTTTACTCTCTTATTGGTGACTTTTGCTTATGCTTTATATTAGATTCTTGCTCTGATTCTTGCATTTGTTTAATCTACTGCTTTGTGAGGTCTGGACAGCCATCTTTTGTCCGTTCAATATCATCTCTTGAGCGGCTAAGCCATTTAATTCGCATGCCTATATTTATCCCTTTACCATTCTGAGTCAAATTTCAAAGTGGAATCCAAATGGTCAAATATTTGATTGGTAGAATTATATGGAATCATAATACTAAGAACTGAAACTGCATTTCCCATTTTCTTTCATTCATCATCTTCATCCAAATGTTAAAGTTTTACATATTAGTTTATGACTTTTTAAAAAGAAAATAAATGGTGGTATTTCTGGACCCTCACCTCCATTATATATGATATTTACATTAGTTGGGGAGATTTAGATTTTTACTATCATTGGTATCATCATAACATTGTCAAAGCCCTCATTGAACTGTCTTGGGACTCCATTGTTCATGGAATTGCCAGCTTCAGTTAGGCATTTCAGTCATCAGGTATTTGAACTAATGGCTTAGCCAGAACAATCCTCAGTTCGCTGAAAGAAGATGTGAAACTTGTGCTATTGCTGCCATTAGCTCTAAGAGAATGTACACTGCTTCCCCGTATTGTTGTTCACTATTTCATGGCTCTTTTTATTTTCCTTTTATATATGGCCTTTTCAGTCATTAGGTCTTGTGTTATAATTTGTTAAACCTTTGCCTCTGCATATTTTTCTTCAATGCAATTTTCTTCTGGAAAGAGTTTCATGCGGATGCATTAGTGGTCAGATGTTTATCTTTTTAAATTTGCTCCTTTCGACTTGTAGAATTTCCAAATGGGCTGAGTTGAGCATTTTATGGGAGGTAGAGAGGACGGCGAACGACCTCTGAAACGTGTTAAAGTTACCTTGACGGAATTAAAGAACTCCTCAGACCACTCATCCATTACAGATCCTATTGCTTCCTCTTTGGGAGACTATATGGCTAGGCCTCTACCATCCCAAGGAGATGAAGAAACAATTGGTAAAACAGGAGTCATCAAAAAGTCAGAATTCATCAAAGTTATAACTAGGGCATTGTACTCACTAGGTTATGATAAGACTGGAGCCATACTAGAGGAAGAATCTGGAATACCAATGCACTTGTCAGTGGTCAACCTGTTTATGCAACAAGTGATGGATGGAAAATGGGATGACAGTGTGGCCACTTTGCGTGCAATTGATCTCTTGGATGAAAAGACCATGAAATCAGCATCTTTTGTGATATTGGAACAGAAGTTCTTTGAGCTTTTAAAAAAGGAAAAAATGGTTGCGGCCTTAGATACTCTACAGAATGAGATTGTGCCTCTTCGCATCAATGTGAACAATGTACATGAACTTGCTGCCTGCATGATTTCTCCTTTGCAGCCTGTGCAACTTGAGCCTTCAAGTCAAGATACTGATGGTGCAAGCACACGATCAAAGATATTGGAGAAACTGCAGAAGTTGCTTCCTGCAGCACTCTTCTTTCCTGGAAATAGGTTAGAACGTCTGGTTGAACAGGCCCTTGACGTGCAACGAGATGCTTGTGTTTTCCATAACACTTTTGATAGTGACCTGTCTTTGTATTCGGACCATCAGTGTGGAAGAGACCAGATTCCTTCTCAGACATGGCAGGTTAGAATGTCTTCTGCTTTTATGGATGCTTGCTTATGATGCCTCTCATACCATCTATGTATTTGTTTCTTCAGTTGGCCTATGAGCTGATTGACTCTTGCATTTTCTTTGGAAACTTGGGCTAATAGTCACTCTCTCAAAATGAGTAGTCTATCTTCAGGAAACATAGTTGAAAGTACTAAATTTTTTCCCACTTCTATGATTTGTAATGGCATATGATTGTATCATGCTGCCTATACTTAGACTTGTCAGCATTGTCATAGTTAGTGTTGAAATATACTTTTGCTCGATACCTATGTTGCACTTAGAGGTGTCAAACAGGCCGTGCTGGGCCCGTCCATTTATGAAAATCATCAATCCCGACCTGAGCCCACAGCCCTAGCCAGGCTGTGCTCATGCTGGGCCACTAAACGGGCCATTATGGGCCCATGACAAATTTGACATATGTATTGCATTTTTTTTGTAATTTTTTTTTTACAACTTCATTTAAATATTTTTTACAATTATGTATATACTAACAAGATTTATTATTTGTTGACAAAAGAGGCCAATAACTTAGGTAATTTAGGTTTTAGCTACAAAAAAAATTTCACTTTTGGAAAAAGCCAAAGCTTTTTCGAAAATGACAGAAAAACCTCTCAACTTTCACACCAAAGACATGCAAATGTAAAGGATTCCTTAGGAAATCCAAAAATAAATAAGGGCAATTTTGTCCATTTTGGCTTCTTTTAAAAAATTTCTCTCTCCTTTGGCCTTTTCCAAAGTCTCCCATAAAGAAAACATTAAATTTAATATATATTATTAGAGAAAAGAAATAGATTTGAATTTAAGATATAAATATAATAATATTATATATTATTTTTCTCTAAAACAAATATAATTTAATATATGAGCTTTAAACGGGCCGGCCCGTTGGGTTTCGGGCCAGCACGGCCCACGACAGGCCATGGCACGACCTGGCCCTGTCCGTTTGTGTGACTATGCGTCATCATCTTGCCATTGATAAATTTTTTTTTGATTTATTGGATTTCATCTTCTGTTCAATCAATTTGGTGATGTCCCATATATAGTATACCTCGAATTGGACAGAAAATTTGCATCTAATTATGATTTTGTTTTTAACTGTTTGGATGGGCTCCATGTTGCCAATTTGAAAACTTTTACTCATTTATTGTAACAGATACTGCATGCACATAGTGACGAAATATGGTTTTTGCAATTTTCACACAATGGGAAATACTTGGCTTCTTCTTCCAAAGATCAGTCGTCCATTATATGGGAGGTAACTATTTATCTGATTATTGGCTTTTAATTTATTGAGACAGAATTTTAAACCTCTCTTGTTATCCCTCCCTCCCTCCCCTCTGTCGTACAATTTGAATAATATTTGGATCACATTACAATTTAACATGCTCCCATGTCCTGAAAATCCATTCTGCAGATGGAAGTTCTTGTTGAAATCTCTTGACTTTATGTGCAAGCTAAATATTTTTTAACATTATGTTTCTTTGATATTAGTATCCTCTAGCAGATTGTTTTTATTGCTCATAAACACAAGTGTGGCATCTCATATCAATCCAACCATGTGCGAGCACAGACACAATATGTATCGCCTTATTAATCTTTCTGAATGCAATTTTACCTTTTTAGGTCAAAGGGGATGGCCAAGTTTCATTGAAACATGTATTGACTGGTCACCAGAAACCTGTGCTGACTGTTTCATGGAGCCCTGATGACCGCCAACTGCTGACATGCGGACTAGAGGAGGTCATTAGACGGTGGGATGTTACTTCTGGAGAATGCCTCCATGTTTATGAAAAAAATGGTGTTGGTCTTATTTCCTGCGGGTGGTTTCCTGATGGTAGAGGGATATTCTCTGGCATGACTGACAAGAGTATCTGCCTGTGGGATTTGGATGGAGTAGAGCTAGAATGTTGGAAAGGGCAGCGAACACTCAAGATATCGGACATGGCTATAACTGATGATGGGAAGAGGATCATAAACATATGCAGAGAAACCACAATATTATTACTTGACAGGGAGGCAAAGTTTGAAAGGCTGATTGAAGAGGATGAAGTGATTACTTCATTTTCGTTATCAAAGGACAATAAGTTCCTGCTTGTCAATCTTATAAACCAAGAAATTCATCTTTGGAGCATAGAGAGTGAACCTAAGGTTGTTTCCAAGTACAAAGGTCACAAGCGTGCCCGATTTGTCATTAGATCTTGTTTTGGTGGATTTGAGCAAACCTTTATTGCTAGTGGGAGTGAGGATTCACAGGTACTTTTACATGAACGAACTTGTCTGACAAGAATTAGGGCTGGTTGCTTGGTTATGACAAATTGATTTCCTGTGAAATGGGTATAACAGGACGCAACTGTCCTTTTTACACCAGTGTATGCCCAAAAACATTACATAATGTCCTAACAGTAGCAATCCTGCATACTTTATATGTTTACTTTTATTCCATTGTTATGGGAAGAATCAGAAATACGTGAAGTTGCTTTGAGCAACTTGTATGCTGGTCGGATTTCAGTCATACATAAAATCTCTGTCGTTATTTAATTGGAATATCCGTGGACTGTTATACAATTGATTTGTCATTACAAAATCAGTTTCTTTTTTCTTATTCATTTCATTTTTTCAAATGTTCTTTTGAGATGTACGAAATTGGTTGGAATGTGGGCAGAGACAGACTTTAGGCACTCATGGAACCAGAACCACATGCTTGTTCCTTTTGGAACTTTTAAAATGGTTTAATATGTGTGAGTTATTAAGGCATTTTGGATTGACGTTGTAGGTTTGATCTTTCTTGTTGTAGGTGTATATATGGCACAGAGGGTCTGGGGAGCTCCTATTGGCTCTTCCTGGGCATTCTGGAGCTGTAAATTGCGTGAGCTGGAATCCTGTGAACCTTCATATGTTGGCTTCAGCTAGTGATGACCGTACAATTCGAGTATGGGGTTTGGATCATCTCAACATGAGACGGAAAGTCTCTCAAAGCAATGGCATTGCCCTCCTTGCTCACCAGTTTAATGGTAGAACTTGAAATGATTTCTCTAGACAGTTCCAAAAATTACTTGGGTTATGTTAACCGCGGTTGTGTTTTTCGAAAGGTGTTAGATTTATCTAGTGTAAATTATTTTTTCTGTTGCTTTTTATTGTTGGCATAGCAGGCACAGGCAGAATAGTCTGTTATCTGCCGAATACAATGCAAATTAATGACCATACGAATGATCGTAGCCAGTAGAAGTTGGTTTTAGAAGCTGTATTATTAAACCTTGTTAGTTTGCATGAATCATTTTCCCCCGTGTTTACTTGCAATCAGAAAATGTGCGGGCCCCACTTCAAAATCTGTAATCACATCCCCTCAAAATCAGGAATTAGATCAACTAGGGGGAGTGGTTGATCTTATTCCCATTCATTTTTTCCCTGCCTTTCAAAAAAACCATTTCGACTTTATGATAATTCCAAAACACTCCAAACCTTTCAAAAAATATCAATGGCTGTTTTTTAATCACTGTATGAAAAAACAAAAATTTTCCCTTTTCACCTTAGTTACTAGCCTCTACTTGGCTTGTTATACTTCTTATCACCGTGTCATATTTGTTATTTTTTTCTATTATAATCCTTATATTATCATATACTAGTTTTTTCATCACTCATCATATAGTATAATATATTATATGTTAATTGTAAATAAAGTTTTGTCAATTTGCTTTTTTACAAGTTACTTAGGTGAAAAATATATATAATATATGTGCATGGCATTTTAGTAATCAAATTAGTTTATGTTCTGATTTAAGAGAACTAGTAAACAATAATAATGGGAATCAACTCTATTCCTGTGTAGATTCCATATGGTTAGTAAACAACTTAATGAGAATGATTCCTCTTATACCGATTTGTTACTTTCCCAATTCCTTACTTCCTTCATTCATGGTAAGTAAACGGCCCCTAAATTCTCTCCTTATTAATCTTGGGAATGCCATAGTTATAAACAGAGTAATCACTCACAACACATAAGAGAAGATGTTATCATATTCAATTGGTTTTTATTTTTAATCACAAATGGTCATGAGGTTCGTGAAATTATCACCTTTGGTACTTTATGTATTTTTTGAGTTTCCGTCAAATTTTTTATTAAATTACTTGTGTGGCCCACTGAGTGGCTCTATATCATTGAATATGTGAGATGTACATATATACCACGTCATCAATTTAACATAAATTTTGACGGAGATACTAATTTGATATAAGTGTGGTAACGTTAATGACCAATCATGTCAAAAAAAAAACATAAAGAGTAAAAGTGATAATTTGGTGCCAACTTGATGCACTCACTTAATATCAACAATCAAAAATTAGTTTGCACTTTACCAACAGGAGTTGGTCCAAGTGGAAGGGGCTTGGATCCTTTAAACAAGAGGTCCTGGGTTCGATCCCAGGCGCTTGCGAATAGAGCAGACTTTGTTGGGAGAGGTCCCCGCTTTGCGCCCGACAGTACCTCGAGGGTTAGTCCCCGCAATCGCGCGGGGGATACCTTGGTTTTCACCAAAAATTAGTTTGCACTTTGAATCGTCCGTCATTAAAGTTTAAAAAAAAAATCTAAAATATAATTTAGAAGTTAAATTTTTATTTTTATTTATAAAAAAAGGCTTAATAAAAAGGAATTAGAACAATAAATACGCCCCACTTTCCTAGTTCCTACCTCTTCCCTACTCATCTCTTCTCTGTACCACCACCAACCAACATCAATGCCCCCGCCATCACAATTGTTGCCACTATCACTGCCTAGAGATTATAAAATACTATGATAATATAGTCACGTGGTAAATCATGTATACAATATACATGTTATAATATAAGTGGATATTTATATATACTATTCCCCAAAATGGGGAAAATAAACCATATCGTCCACCCATATTATAATATGTGTACAAGATGCACCACATGGCCCTACTACACATCGCCATATCACCATTCAACTACCCTTAATGCCACCCCAAATTCCAGTATCACATATGAATGCCATGACCACACATTTATAAATTGATACTTGTAAAAATATATACATTATATTATGAGGTTAGCCAAACAAATACATTATATTAAGATTTCTTAATTATTTTATTAAATTGTGTTGTCTAAAGATATGGTTAAGGGCTTGTTTGAGAGAATATAGGCGAGAATCACTTATGGGGAGAAGCACCTCCCACGTGCTTCTCCATATAATCACTTTTAATAATTTTAAGTGATTATGGGGAGAAGCAATTCTTATGTACTTCTTTATAAAATCACTTAAAGTTATTATTTGGAGAAGTGATTTTCTATAAAAGTGATTATTAGTATATCTAGAATCACTCCTAAACAAGGACGGATCCATGCTTGGGCTAGAGTGGGCTCTAGCCTAGTATTGACTATGGAGAGAGACAAATTAGGCTTAGTTGTGTAAGCTCAATCCATAAAAAATAAAAAAAATATTATTAGCCCACCACTTTTTCTAGAAAGCAGCCCCACATCTACAACCAAATACTTTACTACTTCAATTACTAAAGGTTTTTTTTTTCTCTCTTCTTCGGTTTTTTCAGCTTTTGATTTGGCTCAAATAATATTTATATGTCTCTTTTGGAAATTTTGAAATATGGACCCTCCATAACTAAACCACTCCGCTGAGCCAAAGTCCTCGAGCTTCAAATTGTTCTTCGTTTGAGCCTATGAATTATAAGTTTTCTTTGGTTACATATTTCTCTAAAAATAGTAATTTTTTTTTTAATGAATTCTGAAAATAGTTTTAAATTTGAAGGAAATATACTGAATTAGTAAAAAAGTATACCACTTTCATTAATTTGAAGGAAATATTGCTTTATATATATTTGTTTTAAAATAGGGCTTATAATTGATCCCAACCAAAAAAAAAAATTTGCCCACCTCTGTAAATATTCCTGTGTCCTCCTAAACCAACCCTAAAATTACTTGAGGAAGAAAAGAAAAGAAAAGAGACGGGGTGGTAAATATTCTCTTGGTGAGGCGGCTGGGCCGTGCGCGCCATGGGTTGTATTTTTTACTTTTAAGTTGTTGCCTTTTGGGAGTATGAGTGAGAGTGAGGTTACAAACTTACAGATTACGATCCTGTATCACACCGTCCACTGGTTTCCAAGTTGAGTCACAGCCACGGTTTACTTTACTCTTTACTAAAGAAGTAAACAAGTAAAGAAGAGTCAAGGAGTAGGCCAGTCATACTTTCTTATATGCTTGAAGTCAAGGAGTCAAGGAGTCAAGGAGTCAAGGAGTAGGGTAGCGGAAAGGGAATGGAAATTTAAAATGAAGAAAAGGGGAAATGAAACATGTCATACTTTCTTATATGCTTGAAGTAGCATTGCCATGAAATTGCCATTTCTCTTTTGTAGGGGCCTGAGATTCGTATTGGATTCCTCAAGGGTGGCAAACCTATTCAACTTAAGGAAGGGCAGGAAATCACCATTACTACTGATTACAGCATCAAGAGGGACCAAGAGATAATTTCCATGAGCTACAACAAGTTGGCCGTGGACTTGAAGCCTAGAAATACCATTTTATGTGCAGATGGTACCATTACCCTCACTGTGTTCTCTTGTGATCCAGCAGCTGGTACAGTTAGGTGCCGCTGTGAGAACACTGCAATGCTGGGTGAGAGAAAAAATGTCAATCTTCCTGGTGTTGTGGTGGATCTTCCTAAGCTGACGGAGAAGGATAAGGAAGATATTCTGGAATGGGCTGTGCCCAACAAGATTGATATGATTGCTCTTTCATTTGTACGCAAGGGATCAGATCTTGTTAATGTCCGGTAAAGTTCTTGGACCCCATGCCAACAGGGCTGGTCTTGAGATTTTGAAGGTCCTGTGCGAACCTTAAACTGAGACCTCACATAAGCTAACACAAACTTACGTAATGTCATACAATAAATGTTTTTTTTCTTCTTAAAGTGACTAAAGTACCCCTACTTCTATGGGCAAAATTGAAATTTCACAAAAGAATTGAATTTGATTAAATCGATTAAATTGGATCAGGGATGTTACACCTTTTGAATAGTCACCATGATTGTGACAATGAGTCTTTGTCATAATAGATCATATTCAGATATTAAATATTTTTTAACACCTAATTTATTTTGTATCAATATTCCAAGAACATCATTAATTGGATGCGACTTTTTTGGTTGAGTTAGTTGGATGCATTATTCTTGTAAAATTAAATATCTTTTTAACACCTAATTTATTTTGTATCAATATTCCAAGAACATCATTAATTGGATGCAACTTTTTTGGTTGAGTTAGTTGGATGCATTATTTTTGCAAAATTAAATATCTGAGCATATATAAAAAAAAAATCGTAAAATCGTGTACCACTTTACTAACCACATTTTTAATTGAGGTGAGCCCTATATATGGAAGTCTTATCTCTATGGGCACTTGAAAATAAAAAATCTACATGAGTAATTGAAGAGCTAGCGTCAAGTCAATGATGGGGACATAAGCACGTGACAAGCAATGTCTGCACATAGGAATATAGATATTATTTGGGCAATTAGAATATATTCTTGCTGAAGAATATATATATATAGTGTCATGCATGTAGTTGAAAGATTCAGTGTCATTGGTCTTGCTAGGCCTCGACTAATGTGCGGGGGTTAGTTGTTTTCTAGGGGTTTCCTTTATTTCACCAAAAAAAAGAAGAAGATTCAGTGTCATCATTTGAGGAATGAGGTGCTTAGTTGTTGGATCTATTTCAATGAAATCATGTGGTTGAGATTGATTTAAGTGTTTAAACTTGTTTGTGTCTAATGACTTGCCAAAAACCCACATGTACGTACGCTTTACTACGTAGCAAGGCTACTGTAACTCGTCCACGTGTTATAATATGGATGGGCAATATGGTTAATATTTCCCACTTTTATGATATAATATCAATAAATATCCACTTATATAATCTAACAAATGAGTTATACCATCTGACATACTCTCATACTACGTACACTATAATTACTCACACTTAAAGCATCCACAATGGGGTCCCCAAACCACCTTCTTAGACAAATTTTAGGGAGGAATTGGAAAAATACAACTCCAACCATGCTCCCTATTCACCTCCTAAAATAGAGAGACCTCTAGGAACTCCTAAATCTGAGGAGAGAGAAAGAACTCCTAGTAACTCCTTATAATTTAATGATGTTTCGTTTTATGCATAGTTTAAACTTTTAATTAATACAAACTATTTTTATTTTATTTTATAGAGATGATAACCAATCATAATGAATTAAAAAATAACTATACTTATTAGTATTTAAGACATTTGATATTTTGGTTTGGGTTTTAATACCTAGAAAAGAATTGTTATTTTGGATTAGGCCAAAGAGGAAGACCAGATTTGTTGACCAACCTTACATTAGTCATTAAAAAGACAATTATACCCTTTTCATTTAAAAACCTAACCCAAATCCGTTAGTTTCTCAGATCTCTCTCTCTCTCTCTCTCTCTCTCTCCGCGTCTTCTCCCTACTCGTCCTTCTTCACCCCCTTGGAGTTCGGCTTCTTCAGAGGTCTGCCGGAGAACCTCTTTCTTATTTATATTAATCTATATATCGAAAATTATATAAAATGGATGTGTTGAATTGAATGAACCAGTTATTCTTTATTCTTCTTTTCTTTTTTTCCTTAAATTTGTAGCACCAAGTAATTACTGATGTAATTGTTTGATTACTTGATTGGTAAGTACTACGTTAAAACAAATTAACAGTTGTTCTTGAATCTTGGTCATGTCCGCGTGTTTAGAGGAGTGTCCAGACACCACACCACCACAGGCCTACACAAAAGAGTCAAGTCTACAGGCCAGGTCTTCTCTTTGAAATATCTAAGGAGAAACAAAGAAAAAAACCCAAAAGCAAACGTACGCAAAACGCAAAACGAATTCTTGACTTTTGCTACTCCCTTTTGTCTACTGGCTTTACTTCCCTATCTCCATCCACAGACAAGACCAATAGCAAAGCAGTCAAGCAACCCTCTAGACCGGGACAACAAGTAGAGTCAAGGTCTTATCTTAATGTCCTCTATGGGATCGTTTGGTACGGCGGACGGTCATGGACTGGACTAAATCATGTGACAGTCTTGGATTAGCTCGGATTAGCCTAAGCTGGATTAAGTACTGACCTACGTTTGGTGCTGCATCGGACTAAGAAGCTGGATTGTAAAAATAGTGAAGACCTATGTTTGGTGCTGTGTTGGACTAAAACATAATAATTTTAATTAAAAAATTTAACCTAAAAATAAATATAACTTTAAATTAAAAAAATTTAAATAAAAAAATTGAAAATTATAAATATATTGTAGCATTTTGGGCTTTCTTTTTTGATTCTTAATATTTTACCCAAAACCCATTTAATACTATTGCTTAAGACCCAAACCCATAAACAGATCTATGAAAAAAATATTAGGAAACGACGCCGTCACTTGAGATAATAAAAATTAGGTCAGTCGACATCTTCTTCTCTCTCTCTCTCTCTCTCTCTCTCTCAGCTGGATATACTGGGTTTTAAATCAATACAATCTCATCATCATTGTTTCTTCATGGAAACACAGATCGTTAAGGGATTGGGAGAGACATTGATGGGTGGATATCCTAGACGTGCCATGAGCTTCATTACCAAAAGATCCAATCTAGATGCTCCGACTGTAAGGCCAACTATTAATTTTATGAAAGGACAATTTTTGCATCAATATTCAGTTATTTTTACGAGATCCATGCTTACACAAGGGAACATCTTCCATGGTGCTCCACGCCCCTCCGGTTTCGATAGAAGAAGCCATAAAAATAAGAAAAAAAATTACAAGGTGAAAGAGAGGGAAATGTTGAGTAAAGAGTGAATAATAGTAGAAGTAGAATAAAATGTATGAGGATTGGTGTTGAAAGTGAAGGGTATTGATAGATATTTATAGGAAAAAAACAATCAGAGCGGTGGGGGCGTGACACGTGGCTTCTACCCGTTGGAGCTTGCGTCACGCATGACGTCATCCAACACGCGGGTTCGACCTCGGACTGAACTGGCCTTCGGGCCAGCCCGACTTCGTGGGACCCACTCCCAGCCCAAGATTAGGCTGACCGCTGGAACATCATTTTTTGGTTTTTCTACCCCCAGCCTTGGGCTCAGCCCTCCGCTGGAACTGCTCTTAAGTCAAATACTTTAGTTTGGTTTTAGTTTAGAAATACAGCAGCTTTCTAATTTATATTAATATATATCGTAAATTTTATAAAATGGATGTGTTGAATTGAATGAACCAGTTATTCTTCCTTCTTCTTTTCTTTTTTTTTTTCCTTAAATTTGTAGCACCAAGTAATTACTGATGTAATTGTTTGATTACTTGATTGGTAAGTAAACAGGGAGATAACAGTGAGTGTCCAGACACCACAGGCCTACACAAAAAGTGCATAAGTCCACAGGTCAGGTCTTCTCTTTGAAATGTCTACGGAGAAACAAAGAAAAAAGCCAAAAGCAAACGTACGGAAAACGCACTCTTGTCTTTTGGTACTCCCCTCTTGTCTATTGCCTTTACTTCCCCGCTATATTCATCCACAGACAAGACCAATAACAAAGTTGTCAAGCAACCATCTAGACCGGGGCCACAAGTAGAGTCAAGGTTGTGGGAGCAAATATTTTCGTCTCCAATCAGAGCATGCCACGTGGAAAAGAAGATTATCCTTTAAATTAATTAATTAAACCATTTATTGGGATAATTGATTAATCAGGATAATATCTTAACTATATGGTATTATCTCATAATTAATAAAGATAATACCATTAATTGGGATATTATCATAATAAAGGGATATTATCTTATAATTAATGAGATAATATCAATAATTTGGTTATTATCTTATCAAAGGGATAATATCTTAATTATCGGGTATTATCTTATAATTAAACGAGATAATTCAGATATTATCCGACTCGATCTCTACGAAACCCTAGCCCCGAGGCTCCTATAAATAGATGACTTCATTCATCATTCAAGGTACATCTAAACCTACATCTAAAACCCGAGAAAATACCCGAAGCTCTCTCTCCCTCTCCACTCTCCATTCTCCATATTTTCTCCACACGGCTCCGGCCACCACACACGGCTCCGGCCGCCCGGTTTACACCATACAAACTCCGTACCCTTTGCTTAGCTATTGTTTTCCTACAAACACTCGAACTAACTTAGGCATCGGAGGGCCTTTGGCCAACACCCCCCGGGTGTGGTCTATTTACTCCAGTCTTTTTTACAGGAATCGAGAAGGAGAGAGAAGGAAGATCGAAGGTTGAAGGATCTAGAAGCGAATATTCTCCCGCGAGATTATTTGCACAAACATTTGGTGCTTTCATTGAGAGCACGAGTTATACTCAACGCGTGCTCAAGGAATCCGTTCCTCCTATTTTCCAATCCACCGAAGCCTTCCAAACAACCATGGTTGGAAGCAAGCGCACGAGGAGCAAGACCGCCGCGATGGCAAAATCCGTGACGGCCCAAAGCTACTCCTCCCACGATCCCGCGATCGACATGGTGGCACCACCACCTTTAGCCGCCATGAACCCGCAA